TTTTTGTTTTAAATACATTTAAATAAATTGTTAATTATTTTAAGAATTCAATCAGCATTTTGTTGTTTGTAATAAATTTGTCAAATGAACTGTACGCGCAATTTTCTGACTTAAATGGTTTCAGAGAAATTTAAGTGGTTGATGATAATAAATGTATTAGGATTTTTCTTCATAAATTATTTGAGTACTTTCTAATACTAGGCATAGACTGTATTAGTACAAGAGCGCGTGCACTTTGACCAAACTATCGCATAACTGTTTACTCGCCCTTTGATTCCTATGAGCTCATATGGAGGTGCACATTACTCGATTAGTTGTGCAACTAAACAGTTGCATGGGTAGAGAAACAATCGACAATCGCATAACAGTTGTGCGGTAGTTTAGTCGAAAGTGTGCGCCCGCGAAATACGAACAATTGTAGTTTTTCTGTGGTTTAGATGACAATCAAATCTATAGTGTAGTCCAAAAAATAGAATTAAACGTAACTTAAATAATCTATAATGTTGCCCATTAAAACAATTTAATTTATACAAGTACGTCCAACAATAATTTATAGTGTACCGTGTCAAATTTCTTTATACATTTACGACTTTATAAACACTTATTTTGTTTCTTTAATCATTGTCTAATTTATAGAGGTCTTGACTATAAATAAAGGCCAATTAAATATATTTCCACTGGCTTTTACAATGAATTACGTAAAACAGTAAGTTCGAAGTTTCTAGTAGCCCACGGAAGGCTCTGCGTAATTCTTTCAGCTTAAATAACACGTCAATTTTTAATGTAGAAAGCTTAGCTAAGTGTATACTTAACGCAAATTTCAATTACGTTGTTTTTTAAATGTCCACTAAACGAAAATTGATGATAAAAAGTGCTTTGACGTCAAAGCCTAAATGTGGTGGCTACTTTTTTTTTTAATGTAAAATTTTTAATGGTTTAAAAGGCAAATAGCTTGGAAACTCACGTGATTTGATGTGACGACAGCTACTTAAAATATCTTGATAAAATGGACAATAACGGGGACCAAAAATAAAAACCTATGAAGTAGAAAATGACAGAAAGAACACGTGACTTAAATTCACACATTGATTGTATTTTCAGTAATAAAAATAAAACCAATAAAAGTTTATAAAATCTATAAAACTTTATCAACACAAATATTTGTGATGATAAAAAAGCTCTGGCAAATGATTTTAAAGTCATAAAAGCACAAAGCTCGCCGCCGTATAGTTACAGTCATTGACAAAACTTCAAGTAAAAGAGCTTTAGAGTTTCAACAAAGCATTATCAAGGAGACTCAAGTCTTCTACAACAAGTTTTGCATGCTTTTATTTACTTTGTAGACATAAGAAAATATTTTTTTAATAATAGGTACTTTAACCTTATAATTACTAAACAAAGTGTCTATGGTAAGGTTTTATATTTATAGAAATATATCTTTATTATTGTAGGTAATGTAGTTTACGTACGAGTAAGTGTTAATGTAACTTATTTATATTTAAGTTTTAGATAACAATTTCTATTGTAACAGTGTTGTTTGACATCAAAGCGCATCAAACGCATAGTACCGACTACGTGTTTGTGGTCCGTCTGCTATCGCGTCCAGTTCTCGTGGGGCCCGTTATCGCAAAACAAGTGCAGCGGGAGGCGCGTTCAACGCACTTAACAGAAAATTGAATCGGCCGACATTATCGCGCGACAAAAAGCTGGCAAATTGATTCGGGTAGCAAATTGCTTGCGGCGGGCGCGCGACAATTCCCTATCTGTACGACTCGCTTATTACGTGTCGCTTGTATGAAAGAAATTGTTCTTAACTGATGATTATTTGCTATCTAAGTTAATACATCATGATATTTTTTTAACCAAGTTCCAAACAATTTGTTTATATGTTTTTATTGCATTATTTGTCAAAGGGTAAACGTAGATGTATTAAAAGTGTCTACGCATACAACTTAACTGTTTTTATAAATACAATTTTACAGTTAAATTCACATATTTTTAACTCTATGTAAACCATTTAAATTAGAAATGACACTCTAATCAATTTTTCTCTTTGTTCTTCTTCAATTCTTCTTCTTCAAAAAAGCAATTAGCTTTTTTCAACAACTATTATACTATTTTATATTTTTATAGAACACTATCGCGAAAGAAAAAGAAAATAGACCTCAGCAAAATATACGTGATTTCTATACCTTTTAAACAGTTACATAGCAAAGAGAATTTCTATCACGACACGTAATCAATCGCCGATAGGGATTCATGTCATCAATCACGCGACATTACATGTGACCGATATTAATAATTATGAATTCGATAATTTATAGAGCTGCATTTTACCTTCGGTATTCGTTTTATGCGAATGCACATGGCAATGACCTTTAACTTCGTGTTACATAGCTGTGTTTCCACTGTTTAAAAACTTGTATAGCAACAGTCCACGAGATCTGCGACGCAATAGTAAATAATTTTTTTCTCTGATGGAGTACGTTATTACTTTGATACTTGATACAAAACGAAAATTTATATTTTAAAATACATTTTTATCTAGTTGCTATTTCAATATATGTTGTTTAAGGAATAATGTTTAAATTTTTACCAACGCGCATTTCGTGGTGTGACCGTAATTTGTGCAATTATCGGACATAATGGAGAGCGTGCAGTCGCGTCTCGTAAATTTTATCGCAGGTGTTAAAGCAAATTGTCAGCGATATAAAATGTAAAAAGACATAGGAAAATAAAACTAATAATAATGTCAAAACATTAGAGTACCAATAAGTTTTAAATATGTATTATGTTATACATTAACTCTCTACCCAAATTAAAGGAACACATACTTTTATTACATACTTGAATCACACAATTAGAAGACAAATTTTGCTTGACTCACGGTCAAATATTGAAAGGAATCTTCAATTCTCTTCGTAAGCGCTGCTTACAATCTGATAGACGTCAAAATTTAATAGGATTTGTAGTTTAAGCGTGGCCTTATAATTGAAGACACTTTTACATATTTAAATAGCGTTTCAGTATTCGTAAGAGACTATAAAAAAGTGATGTACCCCAATGACAATTTCTCAACTGCATCTGCTTTTAAATCTAAATATTCCGACCTCATTCAGTGATCAACATGATTTATATAGTATGGGACACATTCTGCATAATGCCATTCAACTGTCCATCTTGTGTTTAAATAGCTTTGTACATCGTAACACTTAGCGGTTGCTTTCTGCGCTGACTCGGACGTTGGCGTAAAAATACAACTGTCACACATGTCTAATACATCAGCCAATAATTTGTTGTAATAAAACTTTGTGAGAAAAACAAACATTTACCAAGCATTCTACTTTGTCAACAATGTAATCTATACTAATATAATATAGCGTAAACAGACTACTTTGTGGCGTAGGATGTCAGCAATCAAAGCATGTTTTTAAATAACTATTTCTTCAAAAAGTCATGCACTTGCTACACGCATTTATGCTATATATTTCACGCTCTTAAACTTAGGGGATAAATAAATTGGAAAAAAAACCCAAATGCGGGTAAGGGACCAAGCTGTTATCTAGGAAGCAAGGTTGCCATGGTTTGTCATTATGTCATGTCATTTTGACATTTGCATTTGATAATTTGACAAATGTAAACAGTAAAATATAATTTTTATCATTTCATGCGGTTAAAGGGAACAGCTAGTTTGTGATAATTTATTATTCTTTAAGGGAAATTGTGGATGTTTCCCGTTGGAATGATTGTTCGAGCCAATTTTCCTATTGGTTCGCTTGCTGGTATTGACTTGATTAGCCCAATGGGAAAATAAATCCTATTGGTTCGATGCAGCAGTGAACCCAACGGGAAATGTATATTGTTCTTAGTTTGAAACTTCAAAAACATTTCTGAAACAATTCTGAAAAACATTTTTGTCTATATTTATTGTAGTAAATACAACACGTTTTAAATGCCTTAGTGGAAATGTACATTAAAGTTTTAATGCACAGATTAAAATTGTTACTAGTTATTTCTTAATTATAAAAGATAAGATTAAGGTTGTTCAATAAATAAATCAGTTTCTTATTTTAACGTAAAACGATAGAATGAATAAATAACCTAATTATGAAGAATATATACGATTTCTAATTCAATGAATCCATAATGTTCTTATTTAAGCCATATTTATTATGTTATATGTGACAGGCGTGAAATATAATTTTATACATTGATTAAAATGCTTTAAATAAAGAGTTCATCGATGTAAACGAAATTCTTTGTGTTTAAAATAATGTCGATCGAAATTGGTTTCCAGAAATAAAATCGTCACCTAAAATAAAACGTTTAAAAGAAATCGATTAACAAATATTGATTTATTTTTTAAATTATATTGGACAAGATATTTATGTAAACTAATTTTGTGTTAAATTAGTTTAATATTTTTAAACTGTAAAAGAGATATTGTTGAACAAATACAAACCTATAAATAATCTAAAAACACTTTTCTAATCTTACTAATATTATAAATGCGAAAGTTTAGATGGATGGATGTTTGTTAGAGTTTGTAGCCTAAACGACTAAACGGATTTTGATGAAACTTGGTATAGATGTAGAGGATATTCTGAAAGAACACATAGGCATCTCACTTTTGTTTTTAATTTTACGCGGACGGAGTCGCGGGCTAAAGCTAGTAATTTACATATGAGAAACTTTAGATGGATAGATGGATGTTTGTCACTACTTAGGTACCTCCAACATGGCTTAATGGATCTTGATGAAATTTGACACTGGTATAGATCATAGTATGGAAGTACACATAGGCTACTAATTTTTTTTAAAATTCCCCGTAGACGGAGTCGCGGGAACTAGTTAGTAAATTGATAGTATAGTAATTGTGTATGAGACAATTTTAAAGTTACAAACATTTTAACACATGTTAAATTCTTTATCTAAGCTTTGCAAGAAGACAAGAATTGTCTATGTAAATTAAAGTTAATGTAAATATGTAACTTTTTTACCTTACATCCCTCGCACGTGAACGCACCGAAGTGAAAACCAGCAGCAGGCTCCCCGCACACTTTACATTGCTGGTTCATCTGAAACATTAACAACAATTATAGTGTACATTTATCCTAATCTCGTTTATGCAGTAAATTTTGATATCGCAATATAAGGCTTTGTCTTCAAGAAACGCAGTACCGCACGGTAATCCATGGTCGTGGCACAAGAACAAATGAAATAATATTTCTTGTTACATTGCTGCGCGCATCATGTGAACGCACCCTAATATGAATGAACTATTACTAAGCATCAGCTTTTCAGCGATTTTATCAGCGCAGAATAAAAGAAAACGTAGCTACCTATTTGTTCTTTTAGACTTTTTTCTGCATCTGTGCTAAAAATCATCGAGATGCGGTAAGTCGTTTAGGAAATACGTAATGACAAAAAACCTTTTATGATCCATCCTAACTTTAGCATTTATAATATCAGTATGATAGTCATCATCACCAGCTCACTATACGTCCCCACCGAGGGGCACGGAGCCTACCCTAAGTTAGGGGTAACTAGGCTCAACTACGCTGGCAAAGTGCGTGTTGGTTGACTTCACACATCACATTTGTACGGCGGGATTCAAATCCAAGACCTGTAGATTACGAGTCAAGTGTTTAAACCACTGAGCCACCGACAATGGTTTGATGTATGAAATATGAATTGTAATAGGTGGAATCTGCACCTACCCTAATGGGTTAAGTGTCTGTGAGTACTTATTTCTTACAGTAGTATGTGTACTATGTACTAATGTTTTCAATAATGCAACGTATCAATAAATTATTCTTTACATTATAAAAGTATACGAGATAATGTAAACGGATAGCAACATATAGTGACCTTCGACAAACATATAATTTGCATTGAATAATTATTAAATAAATCAGTATTATTGTAAATAACAACGTATTTATCACATAAAATTGTTACAATATATAAATAACATAACTGCAACTCTAATTTGAAAGATACAATCTCTTCGTCAAAGGATAAATCAATAAAGAGTATCTCCTCCTATCTGGACCCTTATCTTAGATTAAAAAATATTTTTTAGTCAATTTTATTCAGGTATATAATCTATTTGAAATAATATCGTAAACACAGTATTGCTTTATTCAATTTTTATCTTGGATTGTGTTAAAGTATACCTATGCATGTGGCGACATCTACAGGAAAAGAAAAGTCCCAAAGGGTTACGTTTAAATGTGTTCTGTGCATCTCATGTTGCAAGCTTCCATAAAGTTTGTATAGCGTTATACCAAATATACCAATGCTGTTTGATGTTCAAACATAAAACGCATTTCAAGTGTTATGATTATAAAATGTGGAGACTCAAAAATTAGGTTCTGTGTACTTTAAAAATGTTAAGTACACGACAGTCACGGACATAAAATACACAAAATGAAATCGATTTTGAAATGATAAAATTATTATTCATTCTTTACTAGCTTTCGCCCGCGACTCCGTCCGCGTGGAATTAAAAGAAAACAGTGAGTAGCTTATGTGTTCTTCCAGAATATCCTCTACATCTATACCAAATTTCATCGAAATCCGTTAAGCCGTTTAGGTTGCAAACTCTAACAAGCATCCATCCATCTAAACTTTCGCATTTATAATACTAGTATAATATATCAAGTTTTGTATGCGATTTTATCCTATGTATAACGTTTATATTTTACCGTAATGTGTTCTGTGTTTATATACATATATGAATACATTTTCATGCTTAAATTAATCTATTAATTTATAAATTATTTGTTCCATAATGGCATGTTATATTAAATCAGCTACTTGCATAAATCAGAATGTAAAGAACCACATATTTATATGATCTCATATTTAAATATATCGATATGAGTCTAAACATATATTATTATATCGTAAATATATTAAAGATATATAATTTTGTATTGACAATATCTCTATACGAATTATTATTCCAAAAATCTCAATTTCAATAACATAACTTGCAAGTTTTATTTTTTCGTTATTATTACATTAATTTAATAAGTATTAATAATTTCATCTTAATCAAATAAAAAGTTGATACGATATTTAAGTAGGCGATCCATCACGTCAAGGAAGATTAACTTTTTAATCACTGACATGATTATCAAAGAGAGAATATTTAGCAAAGACGACATTTTATATTTCAACAAAAAAAAAAGTTGTTACAGCTTTCGGTAGTCTTTTATTTGGAACTTGCAAATTCTTTAAAAGATATAATTTTTTTAAAGTAAACAGTAGAGTTTCACGATTATAACTCGCAAATATGACGTGGAGGCCTTCAAAAGGAGAGTGTACAGCTAACTATAGGGCATACCATCTTTCGACTGCATCGTCACTTCCTTCAGGTGGGATCGTGGTCAAGCGCTAGTTTAACAAATTAAAAAAAAATACAATCCCATACCCGATATGAAGTGAAACTAGAAAATGATGATCAAATTTCCTAACCTCAAAATATTAATGCAACACCCACTTCGTTACATTTCCATAAGAATCAAACTTATACTATCTGCATACGTTAACTATTAGACATAACATATAACCATTTTAATAAGATCTCTATTAATAATGTGAAAAAGTTTATAATGTAACAGTATATCGGAGCGGTCAATCGTCACGCAAGTCATTTCATTTGATTTACATAACGATATAACTGCAGAGTCATCACTGGAAGTGTTTTGATACCCTTGGGTATTTAAAATTAATGGAATATTTTGAATCGTGAGATTATTTTAGCATAAACTTACCCATCGCCAATAGTTTAATAGTTAAGTACAGACATTCTATCGCCATAAGAGCGCACTCCTGAGACTATCGCACTAGTCTCGCTTTGATTCCTCAGCTTATGTGGAGGTGCGCACACTACTCGACTTTTAGTTGTGCAACTAAGAGGTGAATTAGCTCCGAAACAATAGACAATCTACAATCACATAACAGTTGTGGGTTAATTTAGTTTCAGGGGTGTGCTTTTAGTCTTCGCGTGAACGAAATCAAAGCATAGATCTTATTAGCACAACCCTACTTACTTACATTTATCATTTTAAAATTGTATCTGATTTATCTTTGAAAATCAATGTTGTTGTATGGAACAGTGACGAATACTTTAACCATCGCGTGCCAACAATGTGTATTTTACTAAACCGATTTCCTCTTCCAGTTAAAAAACAAGTTCACATATTTTCTTTACAAAAATTAAATAAATGCACCGATAATGACACGCTCCGTCGTCGGCTAACTGGATGGCGTGACTCCGCGCTCTTAACTTTTCACAGCTTGTATTTTTTTTAATATGTTATATAAACTGCGCTCGCGACTGTTATGATTTATTTGGTAAATATTTAAATACAAGCTGCTGCCCGCGACTTCGTCCGCGTGGTATGAGAAAACAGACGAACTATTTAAATAATAAAAACTACGTGTTCTGTAGGGATCCGGACATTTTTCCGGGATGAACTTTATCCCATGTGTACTCCAGGCTTTGTTTTATATCTGTGCCAAATTTCAATAAGATATGTTGAACCGTTGCAGAATAATTTCATCCCACAGGAATCAAAACGGATGATCGGACCTTCGTGAAATTCTGCATAGATATAGACGATAGTCTGGAAAAACACATAGGCTACTTACTTTGTTTTTTTTTTATTCCACGCGAACGGAGTCGCTTGCGAAAGCTAGTTGTAAATAATGTTTATAATAGTTACATCTGCATTTTAAATTACATGTTTAAGAAATTTTAAATGTAACGTTAGTTTACATTGTTACTCACGAAATTTGTAAGTCAAGATCTCGAAATAACAAAACAAATATACAGAAGTAAAATAAATAAAAAACTACACTTGAAGGAAGGACGATGACGGATTGTTTACGCACGGTTCCTTAGCGAGGCACGTCGGCTTTAGACTGTCGAAATAACACAAGCATTATTTAAAACTTGATGGCTCCTACGTAAATTAAGGTAAATGTGTATCGCAAATTTTTCAAGGTAAAATATTTATCTATCTTATAAGAATAATTACGATGCTCAACAATAAATATGTATTAGACAAATAAAATTCTTTTTTTTTTCAATTCTTCTTTCTCACGTTTCTTTGAAAGTTACACAGAAATTAGTATTTTAAAAAATAATAATTTATAAATCATTCACGTAAATTATAAAATGTGACTTATAATAGTGTACGTAAGAACCGAGCTATGTGTTGTGTTAGTATCCGCTTCCACTGTATCCTTGTTAAGCACAAGGATTTAATTTTGTAACACAATTACTTTGATACTCTCGCATTATTTTAAAAAAAATTATATGCAATTAATTCGTATGAGTAAAGCAATATTAATGAACATGTATGTATTAAAACATTTTAAAACTCAATTTGGAAGAAAAGGACGAGTATAATGAATATAATTGATTTTAATGGATTCAATTTATATTATTGTGTAAAGAATTTTAGTGTCTTTTAATCGTTAAGAAAATAAAGTACTTACAGAGAAGAAAATAAATGTTGACAATAAATAAAAAAATATATAATTAATGTTGTTGTGAATGTATTTTTATTTCACAATGAAATTATACCTGAAAATCTTTAAATCGATGCTTTGTCATTCAATATTGTTAATAGTTGATTGTGTAAATAATATAATTTATTACTTTTTGTTATATTTATTGTAATTATTAATATCTTAAGTGTTTTACAGTTGCATGGTGCAGAGTATTAAAGCCCAAATTTATAATAAAACGCTTCAATGTTTGTGGATCGATTCACCTTGTCAAAGACGCATTTATAAATCGATCTTATCACTCCGGTCATCTGTATTGAATGAAAGAGGGAATAAAGAACGAGTGAATGATATATCAAAGTCCGAAATTTGGGTTGCAATCTTAATAATTTTATCTGATTCTTGTGTTTCGAGTGTCGTTGTTTAATTAAGTAATTTGTGATGTATTGCATGAGATTACATGTTGTTGATTGTATCAAAGATCCATGGGGACATACAAAGTCTTGTTATTATTTTTAAAGTACGAAAAGATCCTATCGATTCTTAATCT